GGGGGGAATCCAGCCCCTCCCCTGTCACGGCAGAGAGCCGTGACAGGATCGAGAGGTGAGCGAACACCGGTGTATGTTCGCTCACCTCCCGATCTACTGAGCCGACCTGTGACAGTCTCATTGGAAAGCACTCACCTCATAGTTCTCCTTTAATACTGTTCTTCATTGATTGATTGTTATAAAGGTATGCTAACAGTGGGCTGAAGAAATGCATGCAAGGATAAAAAAACAATGTGTTCATTTCCACCTACCACCTATTGTAAAACAAATGTGATATGTGGGAGTTTTGTTACCAGGCTGAACAGAACAATGAGTCATTTCTAAAACCTTTGTTCCTGTGGCCCACAATAACAGCAGCAATTTCTTACTCATCGCTGGGAATAAATTATAGATCACTTGGGTTTTACAATCTAAAAAGATCTTTGATGTGAAGTGTCATGGGCAGGATAAAACAATGTAGCTCAGTGGACATCACACAGCACCTGCTAAGGCAGAGAAGATTCTGTAAAGCACAATGAAGAAATATGGCATTCTTTGTCATAACAAATATTCTGCAAGCACAGTGGAATACACTATACAATGGCAAGCAGCGTTGCAAAAAAACCCAAACAATCAGGCAAAAGCAGTTATCAAAATTATCCAAAGAGTGATTTCACTAAAAAAGGAAAAATCCATAATAAAAAAGGCTTCAGTGATCACTTTCTGCCATTGCAGTTGTCAGCATGCCATGTCATTTAAATATATTCATGAGATTAATCCAGACATCGCTAGCAGATTCTGGGATATTGTAAAGGCAAATGTGTTATAAAACTATTTTTTTTAGTTTGCTAGCTGTGATAAGTGTAATAAAGGTAGCAAAGAGTGATCATTTACCTGACTTACAGCCTTGTTTTTTTTTTTTTTTTTTAAGATCCACCCAGTCTTCCTACCTTACAAGAACTGGAGTGGATCCTCATCCTGGGGCCCAGTGTGGGCTGCTATGCTGTGACGGAGCTCCATCTATATGTGCATTGCTCATACAGCTCCCTTGCGCACCCTGTTGAGGTGGCAGGAGCCAGAATGTGATGGAGCGGC